GAGACAGAGTGAAATAAGAGGTTAGCGACGTAGATCAAAACGAAAAATTAACAGATAGTACCTGCTCCAGCTCACGATACATATTAATTTTAGCATCGTCAATTACAACTATTGACCGTGGAAGTGACCACGGGCTCAAAAGAGGTAAAATCTTCTCAACAAATGCCTTGTGAAACGAAGTTTTCGTGTAGATACCATCTGTACAATCCCAAGAAACAAACCCAGTGTGATCCAGTACACCGTTCACGCTAATTAGTCGTAGTTCGCAATTAGTCGTGGATTTGCACTTTAGTGACATCACAAATTCGGGATATTCGACAAAAATGATCAAATCTAAAGAAAAAGACCGGTTTTGAGCAGATCTCATCGAGCTCTTTGTTCCAGTATGCTCGGTTTTTAAATTAGACAGGTGGTTTTTACAAAATGGACAGCTGAAATCCAAGTATAAAGGGCTTTGATCTGTACACCACAGTTAGTCAGGGTACGACTAATTAGCGTGAACGGTGTAGCTGCTAGTACTGACAATCGTTTGCCTCCACTAAACGGCAATCAAACCACCGCTTTTGTATTTCGTTTGACCATGCATACCGACGGTAAGCATGGCGACCATCTTTCAACGTCTCGTCAATAAAGAGCAGCTGCTCGGGATACGAATATATAGCCTCCAATTTGACCTTGTACGCGAGCACTTCATGTGGAACAGGCTCTCTCGCAGCTTTAGTAAATATCTTTCTCGACATATTCCTATCAAAATGCAAGGCTCTACATATAGTACTCAGCGACACATTTTTCACATTAGAAAATGTGTCTCGAATGAACTATTGGAGTTCCTCTAGATAAAATGTGGGGTGAGATTTTACGTACGTTCGGACACGAGCTACTACATCGCACGGCCAACGCGACGAGCGGCTTGGTTCCTTAGCAGACTCCACAGCTTCCACTACACCGCCAGTCAAGAATAGAATATACCAGCGACGTAGCGCTCGCTCGTTTGGCCCAAATATATCACTAATGCACTGTATGCAAACCGTACACACGAATGAGGAAGATAGCGCGCCAGCGAAAATCATGAGACTACATGCTAAACTTGTGCTTGATAAAGGCTTTTGGAAAGTGAAGGGCAGGGTGAAGTATGCCAGGTTAAGCTGATCCACTCGATTTTTCTGTTCGGCTGTTATTGTCTCGTTTTAAATTATACAAGAGATATTAAAAACCGGACGTGGGCAGATGAAAAGAATCAGATAGAATTAAAATAGACACGCACGAATTGCCACTTTTAAACGGTAATTCGAGCACATTTGTCATAAATCGAGCTTCAAACCCAGGAACGACGTAGATATTCTGGTCGAGTTGCACTGTCAATTTCAGCATCTGTTTTTATAACGAGCTCAACGATTTATAATTCGAGCAAAACGATAGGCAAAAAGGACAAACGCATTGCAAAGCACATTATGTGTCATAAAATATTAGGCATCATAAACCTATAATACTAGAATAGAAACAAATTATTGGCTAAAACTGGGAAAAGTCTAGGAGGCAAGCTACAAAATCAATTTGCACGCTCATTACTTATGTTATTTCCCAGCCGTTCTAGCATATCCGTGGTAAACGCATGAAGAGTCACTTTTTGTTTTAGCTTGGGAATTGTATGTGGACCTGACTTAGAATGATACACTACTTTCATTTTTAGGGCCCCTCTTATATACTCGCGTTTTGTAATGAGAGCTGAACTGCCGTGATGTCCTGAAGAGCGCATCGCTTTTCGGCTGTATCGACATTGCTGCGTCGGTGCTCTTCGAGAAGATATCCGCTACGACTAGCTGCCAGTGCCTCCTTCTTTCGACGAGCAGTAGCTCCCCTCTTCGCCTTAGACTGTACCGCTTTTTCCCGTTTAGCAGTCCGATGGGCATCTCGAGCAGAATTCGCATCGCTCGTCGGGCAGCTAGCTCCCTCTCTGCAGCTCGTTTATTCTCGAGTTTCAGTAGGTCGACCTCCTGCTTGTTACTAAACTTGCGAAGTCGGTGCGAGAGTCGATCTTTGGTTTGCGTAGCTTTAAGCTCCGAGTGGATGCTAAATGCCTCTTTCATTTCTGCGCTTGTCAAGAGGACCCCATCTGTCATTGAAGGCGTAACGAATGAACCACGGGATCGTATAGCTACACATGGTGTCACCAAGTTCTTGGCGTGAAAGGCTACTACATTTAGGGCGTCAAGGTTTAGCCCCTGACGCTCAAGTTGCTACTTCTGGCGATCGGTTAATACTAAATTAAATGCTGTCGTCTCCAAAGCAGTGTGGTGCGGCAGAACGTTTTTTATGTTGGGAGGAGAGCGAGCCCACCATCTTCTCGAGCATAATGTCGACACTGAACGGAAAAATGCCTGTCTTGAAAAAACATGGCGAATCTTCGTGTCGGTAAACGCTTTCTCGAATGGAGCGCGCGTTAATCTAGGAGCGTCATCTCTTGTCGGTAGCGCTTTGTCACCCAAGCCCTTTAGCTTCGGGAAGTTAGCAACCTCAGTGCTGTAGTATGTTTTGAAGCTCTTAAACACACTGCTGCAAGAAGTGAGAAGTATAGGATGGCAGCAAAAACAGCTTAATGCCGTTATAAATTGCAAAATCCACACTCTGTTGCGAAAGATGTGAATAGCGGCCATCCACAATTAGCACTTGCGGGCGTACGACACTATTTTTGCGAACAAAAGTTTTTAACCAATGTAGAAAAACATTCCCATTAATGTTGCTGCTTTTTGTTGTTGCACAAACAGCGTCTTCAAATGTTCCAGCCAGCCAACCACGCTTCTTGTACTCTCCGGCAAAACCGTACATAGGAGGGATGTAACCTCCGGCAGCATTAACACACACCATTACGGTCACATTTTTGCGGTCATGTGAGCGTCTAGTGTTAGCGGCGATGCCTCGAGAGCACAGGACTCGTACTTTTACTGATCCTTGTGCACATACGCCGGTCTCGTCACCGTTCCCGACAAATTTTGGAGCTATACCACTGATGACAGGCTCAAGCCTTCTGGCATACCCACGCACGATCTCCTCTGTTGAGTGTTCGGCCCGCTTCTCGTCCAAGATCTGTGGTCGCCGAAACGACATCTTCTTCTTGTGTCTCTTAATAAATCTTGATATCCACTGCCGGTTCGGAAATTCTGGAGGAAGGTTTCCACCCGGTTGGTGAGCCAACGCACACTGTCGAATAATATAGCGGAGTTTTGGCTCTTCAATACAAAATCCCGTATGAGAGCGCGCAGCGACAACTTCCAGCATTCCTTGTTCGTGGCCCACCGTCAGATACGTAGGCTTCTTCCCCTTCTTCGCGTGCATGGCGACGACGCCATAAACATTACGACGTAGTGCTTCCCTTTTGACTACATGAAAGTTTTTTTCAGCTGTCCGGAAGGACATGCCGTACAGTACAGCGTGTACAGCCTGATCCCACGGTGGCTCGTTGTCGACCATGTTGAGCTGGCCACTGCTCCTCTGCTTGTGGAGCAAATTGAGTTTTAAAAACTGCATTAATGCCCACAAGATCTCTGCTCACGACGAACACGATTTTGTTGACGAATACGACGTGAAAGCCGTGAGTGAAAAGAGCATTGAATAAAAGGACATCTTGTTTTTTCTATGGTGGAACTGGCTCGCATTATGTTGCTGCTCCATTATGTAGACCATGGATACAAGGATCAGCATAAGTTTTGCCCAGCCTGAAAACCGCATCAAAAAAAGGTCACTGATTGCTCCAGCTACCGGTACACTAAAAAGCGTCCTCGATGCTGTCGACCACTGTTACGTGTAACTAGATGGTCTCTTATAATAATTTTCACCTGATCAATTTTAGGAGGCATTATTAAATAATGCCTCATTCTATTTGACTCAAATAAAATTGGTTTAAAATAAAAATGAGCAATTTATTGCCTACTGTAACGTTTTTAAAGGAGGCGCTATCGCACATATATTAGAGATTACATGCCCTACTTTAGCAGACTTTTTATTATCCCAGCCCGATATTCGATGCCAAGTAGACATGGTCCAGCGGAGTGTTATAGGTGCATACAGTATACCTTCGCGTAGAGGACCTCGGGTACGCTCTCCTATCTGCACTGGTAGCGGCATTTTTATTTGATACGCAAAAGTGTTGCCATTTTTCGATTTACCGCTAAACGAGCTGTCAGTTTAACCACTAATAATTGTCTAGCTAATTGAAATACTTGCGGAGGGGCTTTTCCGACTAGTTCATATGTCACAGAAAGTTCGATAATGAATGTCATACATAATAAGAAAGTTCGATAATGAATGTCATACATAATAATGAATGTAATTGCTAAAAGAACACCCGACCTAGATCCAGGTCATGTCCGAATAGAATTCAAACATCGTTCACCAAGAATCTTGGTGGCAAGATGGACAATACGAGGATCGTTCCGCGTTCGCAACTGATCTCCGCCGCTATCAACGTTCGCAGTCGTCGCTGGATACTGCGTGTATGACTCGAAGGCCAACGACATCAACGGCATGACAGCAAGACTCTCAGCGCTACCATCTGGGCGGAGCGACATCAGCCAGTGACCGCCACGATCGTCGGATTTTGGGTGGTGTCCAGTCATATCCTTTACGGACGCGAGCTTGGGCTATCCTTCTGGCGAGTTCATTTCGCACTTTAAATGCCAATGGATGGCCTCGGTCTTGCCGATTGGAATCTCATGCGACGTCTTTCCTTTTAATCCTCTTGATTCCAAGCAAAGCAATTGCTGCCTGAACGCTATGGCAAGACAACTTGTCGGACAATGTTCGTTTGATCCGCATGGGCTTCAAACATATCCGACGCAACCCAAAGTGAAGGCCTTCGATAGTGTCCCCTCTCACCAGCGCCCGTGCCGCATTGGCATTCTGCTCACATCTCAATTTGCACATCACAGAGCACTAGTAGCTTCCCAACTCTTGATACCTCAGCTCTAACCACGATGGTCACCCAGACGATAACTTTCTATGCCATGCTAGCCGCCACAACACTTGTCACGGATGTCAATGGTCACGGCTACATGACGGAGCCAGCCGTGACTTTCCTGTCGTCGTCCACGGACAACACGCAGTTCATCGCCACCATTGAGGCATCCGCGTCGAAGTTCAGCGGCACTTTCTCCGGCTCACCCGCAGACAACACGGCCGCCTTCACGACTGCATTCGAGTCCAGCTCGTACACATCCCTGAAAGAGTTGATCAACGCCTTGACCACGGTTACTGTCACGGATGCTACGCTTACTTGCGGATCATGTGACCCTGATGAGACGGCACAGCCTCTACCGGAGACGTATGTGGAGTGGTCGCACTCGTCCACCGAAGGCTTCACGTCCTCTCACGAAGGTCCATGAGAGGTTTGGTGCGACGACGTTCGTGCGTTCCAAGACAGAAACTGCGCTGCAGACTACACCTCAGCTCCAGCTAAACTACCGTACGACCGCGATGCCTGTTTGGGCACCAGCACGTTGACGTTCTACTGGTTGGCGCTGCATTCGTCTACCTGGCAGGTCTATATCAATTGCGCGCCGCTCGAGAGTACTACCTCGACAGGTGCAACGTCCAAGTACGCCGTGACGGGCTCGTCCAGCTCAGCCACTACTACTAACTCGACGTCAACCAGGTCAACAGCTTCATCGGCTGCCGAGGCTTCGACTGCGTCGAGCTCCCACAACTTTAACACGAACTTTGCGACGTCCTCCTCGGCTTCAACAACCGACGAGACCTCATCGGCTGCATATACAGATGCACCAGCTTCCACTACTACAGCGCCAACGACGACAACGGAGACGCCAGCTACTGCTACGACGACCGATAAAGCGACTACCACTCCTGCTGACACCAGCAAATGCTCGGTGCGTCGCCGTCGCAACTAAGCGACGAGGTGAACATAATGTTTGCATGTAGTCGCGCAGAACGTAGATTGGTGTAATGAATTCAGCGGTGCATTTTTTAAGTAGCGTGCTGTACACGTACTGGTCGCCTCACTTCGTTTTGGCAGTCTTACTAACCTCAGTGGTGGTCGTTCCGCTATGCCAAGCGGTGCATGTGCTCTCATTGAGACTCATTTGGATCTTAACGTGTGTCGCACTACAACGTAGTGACTACAGTTTCGCTAGTCACGCGTCACTACAATTTCGCCAGATGTGTTCGCGGCACGCTGTCATGCACCGGCGCCATCAGGATTTGCAACGTACCTGTTGTCAGGGTCTTCTCTACGCCGATTCACGCCGACACTTCCATGAGCACCACTCCACCACCATGACCGCGTTTGAGATCTAACGTTTCTCACTGCTTTCCGATCACATCTTAATTCACTTCGTCACCGTCACAGCTACATTTATTCATATATAATGGTTACGTCGACCACGAATTTCTCTGTCCTGCTGACCACGGCCATGCTCTCCGTGAACGTCTACGCCCACGGATACATGTCGTTTCCTTCACGCAACCGGATTGGGGCTAATGTAGTGCATTGCAGTGAGTCGAGGGCGCGGTGAGGCGGGTCGACTTTATCGGTGCGGAGGAAGAAGCAGAGTGAGCGGCTTCGCTCTCCATCTAGTTAGCACTACCTACATCTATCTTGAGCAGCTTTATCCACGATCGCATGTGTTGGTTGATCTCATGCTCTGCTCAATCGCATGAAGGCACGTTTGTGAATCCTTATGCTCCCGGAAATAGCAGTATCCGCTACTAGGATACTCAGCCTTTCCTTCACGCAACCGGATTGGGGCTAATGTAGTGCATTGCAGTGAGTCGAGGGCGCGGTGAGCGGCCCCATGTTGATGTTAATGGGCTCGGCGCGTTGTCGACTCTCTGCGTTGCACCATGCGATTTGACAGCCCCAGTGATGCCTGCGCGGATTGTCTTGGGTATTCTTCGAAGCAGTTGGAAGCCCATCGCCCAAGGAGTTTAATCGATAGTCTGTCAGCTCCTCCAGCCACTAAAGCTGTGGCACCACCGATACGAATGGAGTGACTGGCGTAGTCTTTAGCTGATACTCCAGCACGTCTTGCTGTCCGCTTCAAAGCTCTTGACACCGTTCCCGCACTTAGATTTCCGCAGAGGTGCGGCTCATGCTGAAGATTAAGTTCTTGCCGTACTTTTTGAATATGGTACAGACCTCGGATCGGGCATACTTCTGCATCTCCGGACGCATGCATTGTCTGCCACGCTCCTCGACCATGCTGGTCGTTTTTGGCGCCCTCGAGCCCAATTGTTACTGATGTAGCTCGTGTGTACCCAACTTCTTGACCATCTTTGTCGGAGAAGAATGCGTTGCTGTTCTTGAGACAGTAGAAGTGTCTTGTGTGGTCGATCATCAAATATTCGGATCTTCTAAGCATGAAGAAGCCGATCAATATGCTCCCCCACAGAAGCCGCTGTCGTGGTTTCGAGAAGTCGAGACGACGGCGAAGAAGGCGCAGAAATGGCATGGTGAGAGGTTGCTTCTTCCGTTTGGGGGATGAAAGACGCTTAATACCCTGCAGTAGCATAGCCAAACGAGGTGTTGCTGGCAGTGTCAGGTCCTTGTATCGTCGATGGAACCATTTAACGCTGGCCAGTTTGAGGTTGATAGTGCCCAGCTGGTTGCCTCGCTGATAGCGATTCGCCCCATGGGCCCAGGAGACCGTGGCGAAGTAGCCTAGTCGACGAGATGAGTTCTTTTCGTTCAGCCAACGTGACCACCCCATTTTGTGCGCGAATCTGCACCATTGACGCCAATGCGCGAGATATTTGGAATGGGTAGAGCTTGCCAGGGAGTGTCGGAGTAGCAGCGATCCCATACGGCTGAGAGATCGTCGAAAGGAGGCTCGATGTGATCCTGTAACCACGGCGCAGAAAAATTGGTCCATAACTTTGCTGCCTGATCATTGCTACTCCATGCCCGGGATCCAGCGTCAGCCATGACATTTAGTTTCCCTGGAATGTGTGTTGACGTACACACAAGGTTGTACTGGAACTCGGCGAGTGATAGTAGTTGATTGTACAGCTGAGCAGTTGGATGCTTGCTGGCTCGTTTGTTTGCCCACGTAACAGCGGATGTGTTATCAATGTGAAATTGGACATGAAGTGGAGACGTACAGGTTGGACTGTGCCAATGCGGTCCCCAATGTAGAACAGCGAGAACCGCACTGCGTAATTCCCTCACGTTGATTGATAGCGTCTTGGATTCTTCGTGTGAAAACCGTTGACGAATGTAGCGCTTAAAATTTGGTTCTAACGCACAAAGGCCTTGTTCACTAGCATCCATGAAAACATGAACTGCTGGTTCGGATAGATCTGCAAACTGAGCTACTGGTATCGAATTGAACTTGACAGGGTTCTGGAGAACAGCAAGAAACCAGTGCAGATCGTCTCGAGCATCTGCGGGCAGTTGCCGTTGGCCGAATTTTGGCAGCGAATTTGCAGTAAACTGAAGTCGCTGAAAAACGCGCGAGCTGGGCGAGAGCAGCTCGCAACATGACGAAGACTTCCGATAGTTTTTAGAACTGCTGTCTTAGTGATCGATCGAGCTCCAAGCAGATTCGAGATACGCTGAACGGCCTTGTTAATCTTGTCCGCTGGTATTGACACACAACCAGATTCTGTATCCCAGAGAAGGCCAAGGGCTTTTACGACAGTGGACCACGATGTAAATTTAAGTTCGTTGATTGCAGTGGGCCCCAAAACACTCGCCATGGCTCGCCGAAGCGCAATATTCGCATCAAAACAACGGTTACCTTCGTCAAGCTCAACGCAGGTGTGGTCGTCGCACCATACGCTACCGGAGAACTGTTGTGTGAGTTGGTTTCCAAACTCGTACGAATAGTTAATAAGCTTCCCAGCCAATGAGTAATATGATGGGGAACCGCACCACTCAAACCCACAGGATAGATCAATCACGAGAAGATCTTCGTAAACATGTGTACTGCGTCTGCATGGATTGGGACGTGTCGAAAGGCACCCGCCACGTCACTAAGCATGAGCAATACGGATGTAGCTGGATTCAACTGTTTGAGTTGATGAATTCGCCGTGCGATAGCTTTCGGTGGATTGTACGAGATCGGAGGATGTTCACTCGGATCTGTGTAATCGTTTACCGATGCATCCGACGGGAATGAGTAGTCATTGATGAGGCGTATGTCAGCGTTGACACCACCCGGTTTTTTACTACTGCAAGCGGGCTGATGAAAATTTCAGGCCACCGCTCGAGAAGGTTCGCATCCATGATCAGGTACCTGCCTTCCAGTTGGCCCTTGCGAAGATGACGACGAATGTTGTAGCCGTGACCGCTAATGCTGTTGTGGTTTGCTGGTCGCGTGCTTTGTAGTCGCGGCTTGGTTGGACTCCATTTTGGGATAACGCCATGACGGACAATGGCGTTCCATTGGTGGCATGTTGATACATCTCGGGATGCGCTGGCGGAGGCAATTCGTACAATTCTTTGTTGGGCCTGGTATCGTCGCTTGTTTGTCCCCTGTATATTCGAACTGTGTCAGGAAGAGATAATTCTCCTTGGTTGGCGAGCTCGGGCCAAAATTTCACCTGACTATAGTCAATATCGTCCACAATGGACGGGTCCACGCTGGGCAGATTCACTCCCACTTCGTTGGCTCGGGTTTTCCAATGATCAACAACTGCTACCGCATTTACTTGGTGCGTCCTGTGGAGAGTGTTGATGGATCGGTCGTAGCAAGCCTGCTCTATGTCTTGATAAGTCGGTTTGTGAATGTCCATCAAGACGGAGTCTGTCCGCCGTGGTGTACTTCATAAGTCTTTGAACTCGTCCGCTAGACCTTGCCAGCGCTGAGTGATGAGCGCTTTGGCTTCGTCTGTTAATGCGGTAGGCTTGAAAAGCGCACGAGCGCACTCGGTCATGGTGCAACCAACCTTTGAGATGTATCACATGCACAGTTGTCGGCCGTCGTCGTTCTTCAACAGTGCGGCTATGACGCTAGAAGGGATTTTCGTCTTGCTATAGTGGCGATGGTCCGAAGTCTTGGGTGCCCGTGAGCTGACGTCGCCAGAGCCTGAGCGATGGGACCCGCCCGCCGGTGGGGCGAGTTTCAAGGATGGAAGGGTCTCTTTCAGGGCTGCTAGTGCCTCGTCATTGCGGCTGAATTCCTTGTGAATACGGAGTGCAGAACGCAGGGGTTTCGTGACCAATCGGTTCCGAAACCTGCTAAACTTGGCGTTGATCCAGTGCGTGAGAATACGAACCATGGTAGCGTCATCTAAGGCTGTGTCAGCGTACAAAATGACAAAGTCTCGTGCGGCGCCGATAAATTTCCGAGTGGCCTTGTTGTAGAATAGTTTAGCGAACTTGTAAAAGCATGAGATGGCACCGATAAGATCCGTAAGACTCGCAGCCCGAGACGGTGCTGACAAACAGTTTCGCGAAGAGAAATCCCACATGTTCACTCCATTCTCCGTCGTGAGGACCGCATCAAACGTACGGGCACGACGGAAGTGCATGATTGAGAGCCCGACACCAAATCTAAAGGCGTACGCTGTATGGCGTTGCCGCACGATTGCTGAGTGAACACGTCGATCCGTCGGCGCAGGATGAAAGGTTACTCCACGGTTCCCCGTCCGCGATCTGCTGATATCTTCATTGTCAGAGCTGCTACTTGTATCCGAGTTGAAATCTTGTTGCTCAATGCGACGCCTTTTAGACAGAGGGCGGTGCAAGTGCTGCACCTCTCGAGCATTCTCATCTACAGAAGAGCTTGACAGCACCGAGGCTGCACTATCCTCGTCACTTTCCGTATCATGTGAGCCAGGGATACCTAGCGCTTCGGTGGTGGTTGGGGAGGTGGTCACACGGGGTCGTTTTCCCCTTTCTGACCGAGCAGGCACATGGTCTGTGTATAGATCGGTAGGGCGTTTTGTACGAGCCGCCGTTTTGAAATCAACAATGTGCTGCCGGCGAACTCGAACTAGTTGCAGGGTTGATGGCCGAATGAGGGGGACACTTTCGTCACCATTGAAGGAAACGTCAATGACTCCGTGACCTCCTTGGACAGCCCAGAGCGACGGCGACTGCATAGAGAGATTACTGTGTTTTGTTGTTCAACGAGCTCCGTTGCCTTAACGGCTGCAGTATTCACTCCCGCCCCCGTTTGCAAGGCGTAGTTGAGAACATCTGCCTTGATGACGAGCGTGGATTCGCTGAGGGTGAGTCGGGAGGAATCGCTCGAGGACGCAATATGCAGCGACTTTATCGGTGCGGAGGAAGAAGCAGAGTGAGCGGCTTCGCTCTCCGTCTAGTTAGCACTACCTACATCTATCTTGAGCAGCTTTATCCACGATTGCATGTGTTGGTTGATCTCATGCTCTGCTCAATCGCATGAAGGCACGTTTGTGAATCCTTATGCTCCCGGAAATAGCAGTATCCGCTACTAGAATACTCAGCCGATCCGGCAGTGAAATTTCTTACTACGAACGACCCGACGCAGTTTATCGCCACGATTGAGGCCACAGCTTCGAGGCTGAGCGGGACCTTCAACGGGGCTCCGTCCGACAACACGGCTGCGTTCACGAAGGCGTTCGAGTCCACCAGCTACTCGTCCCTCAAGGAATTCATCAATGAAAAGGCCACGCTATCGGTGTCCGACGCTACGCTTTCCTGCGGCTCGTGCGACCCCGATGACACGGCCCAGCCTCTTCCGGCCACGTACGTGGAGTGGGCGCATTCCGACTTGGAGCAGTGTTGGCAAAGGCCATGGGTTTTGGCCGCAGGCCAATAACCGGGCCTGTCTATTGGCCTAAAGCCATGTCGAAAGGATTAAATAACTCGTTTCAACCCTACGATTTAAATGTCCAGAGCACTAAGTGCGATACGTTAATTCATATCGAATATTAATAAATCACAGCGCCCCAAACGGCTTAACGCCAGCCGCACTTACAACGCCAGTGTATTGTGGCATGACACCCAAGCTGCTAGAGCTGGTCGTCGCCCCAATGGACAAAGAGAACGACTACGTCGGTGCCTCGCCGGACGGTACCGTCTTCACGACTCGCTCGCTGTGTTGGTAGGCCGCGAGACTGCTCATACAGAAGTGGAGGGAGCCACCCAGCCAACCTGGCGGCAAGGTCATCTCGGTCTCCTGTCCCGAGAATAACAGCATCAAGATCGTCGAAGTCGAGCGTCAGACGTAGCGTTTTGGGCGCCAAGATTGAGGCTGGGCAGTCGGCTATTAATATCTCGCAGGGGGTGAATGCTGCGGTCGTTACCAGCAGCTTCAAGTATGGCATGGTTAATCCATCATGAAAATCTCTAGTATCGGAAGCATATCCCCAGTTGCCCGTGCTTGTTGCGGTGTAGAACGCATCACCAGCAACACTTGGACAATCGCAGTTGCTGCAGGTGTCTCCGTCGAATCGAGTGAGTCATCGGCTGCGTCCGTGTTCACCGCCTCATTTGCGCGATCGAACCTGATGTGGCGCTTGTCGTTTGATCAACGCCACCCTTTGTGATGATGGAGCTCAGAGCCCAATGCCGCACTTGCGGAATTGGCCTCTGAGCTCCATCTACAAAGGGGGGTGTGTTTCACACCGGTTTCTGCTGTTGAAGGTATGTCTATGCCCGGGCTAGTTGAAGGCGCCACTGTCGTGACCGGGGGAGCCCAAGGCGTTACAGTTGTGACGAAGGGGGTGGAGGTAAAGGGAGGAGCGGATGTATTGGTGTCGGAGACGAAGTAGGGCTGCCGAGACGTCAAAGGTAGACCAGGTCGCGTACAGCATGCATCTTGCTGTCTCCGGAGAAGCTGCGCTGGACACGAATGTAACCATCTTCACCCAATGCAGTATCCCCACTGCTTCTTAATGCGCCAATACAAAATGCTATCTTCCCTCTCACCAAACCCACTCCAAGTCCCGAGGTCTTACTGCAGCTCGCGCCCGTAAGCACGCCACCTGAGTAGTACTGGAAAGCAGTCGATCGCTGTACATGAAGGTCGACATTGATTGCGCACGGCATTCTCAACCGCGCCAGGATCTTCACGAACGGGTTCGTAACCGGTCACACCAACTTCAAATTCTGGGCAGGAATTCGTCAAGTAGCTTGCCATATTGCCGTTCTCTGAAGCAAACGGATACGCGTCCAGCGTGCACATTTTGCCATTGCGTTCGCTAGCGATCCAGCACGCAGCGTAGCCTCCTCAACAGCCACTGTAGGAGCCCGAAGACGATGTTGTTGCGCTAAATCCCGCCGAACTGGAACAGGATAGCAACGTAATCGTCTCGTTACATTCCAGTGACCCCACGCTCACTTCATTAGGAGAGCTCACACTGCCAACAGCAGCGGTCTTGGACGACGGAGAGAAGGGCCCGACCATGCTAGAGACGCTCAAGTGTTGCTGTTGCTACCAATACACAGATCCCTAGAGGTGAGTACACTGAAATGGACCCAATCTACGTCTTAGATTGCTACGTACGTACATCCCCAGTGCAGATGATGTGAAGAAGGCCATTGAGCTCGTTGTTGACGCCATGACGGACCAAGCTGGCAAGCAAAGGGTAGGACGAGGAGATCCTAATAAAGCTTGGAGAGGCTGGTGCCAACCTGCACATCACCCCTACGTTGCCAAGTTGAGCGTTGCTACTGTCTAGTCGCGCTCTACAGACACGATGTCTACAGAGCTCGGCTCCACGGACCTTACAATCGAGATGGTCAACAGTGTTAGTGCTGTCGTTGCTCACATCAACCAGTACAGCAGTGGCCACACAGAGTGCAACGGACGCCACTGCTGCCGAGCCATTCCAGCTGATGGTCGACAGCGCGTGCGTGCTCCACAACACCAGCCCTCGCTTTGCTGGCGGCTACCGCTTCGGTCTTGTCGCTGAGGTTGGTATCAGTACTGGCCGCATTCACGGCCGGGGCCCCTTGAGCGTGGAAGGTCTGCTTACTACTAAGTAAAACTTGTGCGGAGAGCGCCCACATCGTCAATTCTCGGCTGCCAAGGCCGGCAAGTACACAAGAAGCTATTTCTGATCTAGACGAATGCAAATGAAGACCGCCGCTCGTTTTGTTCGTGACATATTCGCTGTGATGGAGATGACGACGGCTGTTGTGAGACTTTGGAGCTGGATGTAGCGCTGATGAACGTCGAAGAAGCTGTAATGGTACGTACGTAAAGGAATATTCAACTCTACTACTCAGCAAAAAGATCTGCTAATGTCACTTTTACGGCTCGAATCCCGTGAATGGTATTCTCACGAGGAAAGTCGCCCTGGTTTTCGTTTAGGAACGGAATTCTGACTGGATGCGGTATGGATTCGAGCTCGCTCATCTTCACCTCGTCAACATTTTCTTTTGAGCGAGCGTATTCAATACTGATCTCATCGTCTTGAAATATCTCGTCAAGAACCTCTTCCCACAGTTCCAGGGTCTCCTTCGCATCCGCGAGATCACCGGGATCGTCAAGATTATCAGTACTGTACAACAAACAATCTCTATTTCCTGTGTGATATACTTCGTAGTATTTAGTAAATCTTATAATAATATTAAGGCTGTATCTGTACTGTTATCAATATATGTACTAGCGTTGGCTACCCAAAGGAAAATGATTTGGACGTTACACCAGAGTCCCTCGACTCCACGCCACCATCAAACGACGAGCAAGGACGTGAAGCTGCCCTATGAGAAGGTGTAATTGAGTGATTATGTGCTGTTATCAGTGCCTACTGCGCACATGGACGCGCTTGTTGGCTTTAGCAGATACATTGAGACAGGATCAAGTCCAAGCGGAAGTGGTGTTTTTTTCTCGGAAGTCTCGACGTGCTGCGTCACCCACGCAGAGTGGATGCAAAGTTTCGGCGCTCAAGCGCGTCACGTGCTGCTAGGACACGACACCTGTGAGCAGAAGCAGTGTCTCACACTTTAGCGAGGCTGAAAGCTAAACTACACGCCGTCTTTCTCCGTGCATTCCTGTCCGACGAAGAGCCCTAACTGCGCGATCCCGTCCAAGTATTGCAACGTCACAGGCATGCATCTACACCGAAGACTACCGACAAGAAAGGACGACGAGCAGTGGACTGGGATGATGTTGGACTGTAGAGAACTCAGCTTTAACCAGACGTATCGCTACGCTGGAGGCGACAGAAGACGTCTGAAGCGCCTCAAATGCGTCTGGATCTCGTCCAACCAGGCCGACCTTCACCTGGGCAAGCTTCAGCTGCTAATAAGCCCTCCTGTGTCGACCATGTAGCCTGGACAAAAACACCGCTGTAGACCGACCGTTCGTGCAAGTATGCGTTCGTTAGAGAACTACAACTTCGACGAGAGCAATTATTGCAGTGAAGAAGTCGAACCATACGCTGAAGCTGCTCGCGTCCGTGCGTGGTTGCGTGAGGCGCCGAAGATTACGCAGCTCGAGCTCGTCCCTGTCAAGCACGCGCATCAGTCCCACGCGGTAGTGGTGACATACATGGACGGCGTTATGCATTCTCCAGCGTGCCAAGCTGGCATATAAGGGTTCCAACCGATGTTATTAAAATATCATTTTTCTTTGCTAAATCGTAGTGTAAAGCGAAACCTACCAAGCTTTATAACCAGCGTAAACCTCTATAATCATATAATCCAATGGCCGTGGCCTTTATTAATGGCCGATTGGCCGAAAACCCTTGTTAAAACCCAATTTTGGTCAAAACGATTAGTCCCCGACTGCCAACACTGCTCGGAGGGCTTCACCGCTTCCCATGAAGGTCCGTGCGAGATCTGGTGCGATGATGTGCGTGTCTTCCAGGGCAACGACTGTGCTGCCGACTACACCACCGCTCCAGCCAAACTACCGTACGACCACGACGCGTGTCTGGGCAGCAGCGTGCTCAACTATTGGATGGCACTGCACTCGTCAACCTGGCAAGTGTATGTGAACTGTGCACCGCTCGAGAGCACCACGTCCACCGGTGCAACCTCCAAGTACGGTGTGTCCGGCACTACAACGTCAGCGTCATCGACGGCCGGCTCTTCAGTCGCCTCGAACTCGAGCTCGCTGGATTTCCAGAACAACTACGCGACGTCCAACTCGGCGTCCACTTCGAATGAAGCCACCACTGCGCCGAGTACTACCACACCTACTGCGTCTACGACTCCATCGACCACCACAACGACAGCTTCCAGCACCGACACGACCAAGTGCACTGTGCGCCGTCGACGTGACTAATCAAAAGTTTTGCCGGTCGTAACGTAAATCTGGAGCGATTCTTGTGTTATCTCGTTGAGTCGTACACTTTTAACGTTTCCATCACTACAGCTTAGCTTCCACGTGATATTCTGTTTGTTGCAATGGGTTTATTAAAGAACTTCCCATCCATTTATTAACATGGTCTCGGGACAGACTCTAACAAAACCTGATTGTTTTATATGTCTTCGCACTGAAGACTACAAGTATGTTTCACACAAGAACGGCAAGGATCTATAATTGCGTCTAGTTGCGAAGGTGACGACGGCGACGGACCGTGCACTTGCTCGTGTCGTCACTAGTCTGACTGGCGCCAGTGGTACCGGCTGGAGCGTCTGTAGCAGGGGCTTCAGTGGGGGCAGGCGCCTCAGTAGCAGGCGACTCAGGTGCTGCAGGAGCTTCGGTAGCAGGTGATTCGGGTGTTGAAGGAGCTTCGGTAGCAGGAGACTCGGGCGTAGATGGAGCCTCAGTGTCAGCTGGGGCGTCCGTAGTTGGGGTTGAGGGTGCGTCGGTAGTTTGCTCGGTCGACGAGGAAGCATCGGTGGTCTGTGACGAGTCGTCAGTAGCCTGCGCGGTCGACGAAGACCCAGTGGAGGGCGTAGTGCTAGAGCCACCGCCGCCGACAGCGAACTTGGACTTGGCTCCAGTAGAGGTAGTCTTCTCTAGAGGAGCACAGTTGATGTACACCTGCCAAGAGGGTGAGTGCAACGCGATCCAATAGATCGACAGCTGCGAGGAGCCCAGACATGCGTCGTGGTCGAAGGGCAACTTCGCTGGAGCAGCAGGGAAGTTCTTGGGGCAGTTGTCGTCCTGGAACACACGCGTTTCGTCACAGTAGACCTCGCACGGGCCTTCGTGGGATAATGTGAATCCCTCACCGGCGCCGTGGCTCCACTCGACATACGTCTTGGGCAAAGGTTGCGGGGTGGCGTCCGGATTGGTGTAGCCGCATTCCTTGGTGAAATCCTCATTCACGAGGACCATATTGTCGTTCATAAACTCCTTCAGTGATTTGTACTTGCTGGCGGCAAAGCCCTTGTTAAAGTTAGCTGTGTTGTCCGTCGGCGACCCGCCGAAGATACCGCTGAAGCCAGACTTGCTAGCATCGATCGTAGCCATGTACTGCGTGTTATCACCGTTAAAGGTAAACTCCACTTTAGGCGCCGTCATGTAGCCGTGGCCCTTAGCTGTAGAGACGAGCATGGTCGAAGCCGCGATAGCTGCGAGCGAAGATTTTCCGAGAACCATTTTTCAAAAACCTGTTTGTTGTCCGAAGCTGTTCAGGCGACTTGACTGGGAAAGGAGCAAAATAAAAAGTGAGAGACGAAGCTGATCGAAGCTCTTGCTGTCCGAGGTTGTGTCTTCAGTGGTCTAGGGCTTCCTTGCACATCCAGATTAAGAGAAGCGGAACCCAACCTACTAAGCGTTAAGAACGAGTCAAGTCTTACTCTCACACAATCAATTAGGTCGTGTCAATCACGGGATCTGCTTTGGGTGTCACCTTTGCTGGACTCTTGTCTGGAGTCCACATGGGATCTCTCCCTACAGATTTGAGCATGCTGTGCTCTCACCACCTGTCATTACCGGTAAACGCAAGTCCAACAAACCAGGCAGAGAACAGAATCAACGACACGTTGACTGGCGGCATCTGATCGTATTACGAAAGGTGTACGGAACCTTGTGGTCTTAAGCACAGAAGTTGTACTGTACGTATACTGTACAATACTGAGAATTTTTGACCAAACATACCCTCTAAGAACACGAGAAAAGCTGTGGGAAACATGTCGTAAGCTTATAAGCGTATCAATAATTGCTAGCTCAAAATTTGATCAAGATACACAAAATAATTGCGAAAGCTGTACAGAAAGCTAATCTGGACATCAACAACATAAGGATAGTAATCGAAGCTAATAGTGCTCGATGAAGTCTGTGTCATGAGTTTCGGCACTCATCAGCCGATAATGAGAACAGTGCTACCCAACCAGTAGAACTTCAGCAAACCACCTGCAAGGTACGTACCGGTACGGGGTTTTATTTTCGAATCTTCGCGCGATCCACACCGGACCAATTTCAGGATTAATACGATGCATCCTCACTCAGCAATATTGAAAGAGATGAATGTGTCGAGCGCTTGGATGACCAGTCTAAGGGCTCTACAGTAGAGGGGAACCCTGAAGCGAATCGGATGCCTTCCCTTGTACATGTAGTGTGAGCGTTGAGCCCCGTCAGCCAACCTACGACCGACATGCACTCGTGACGAACAGTTTGCTGGCAGCGGATCGATTAATGCGTCTTGAAAAACATGCTCCGAGCTGCTTGGATTCCATGTTGGACAACGATAGGTGCAAAGTATTGTTTGGCAGTCGTATGATACGACTGCGGTCGTATCCGCCATGTGGAGCGGTAATGTAAAGATAGGGTCAACGTAGTGATGAGTTGATGCAGCACAGCTGGAGGCGGAGAAAAGCACAGCATTCAACTGCAAGAGCACAGCACGCCGATAGGAGATCGATGGCGGCAGACCAGATAAAATCGATCGTAATGTGAGATACTTGTAACATTATGTCAGACACGGAGCTGACAGGTTTCAGTTACCGGGTATTATAACTTATAATACCCGGTCGGTTGAGCTTTGAGCTTATAATTTATAAGCTCAAAGCTCAACCGCCTGTCGCGTACAGTAGCTTTCACTGCGATAAACGTTTGCACGACGCCGTCTCTTCAATATAGAGTCTACTGTTCGGTTCTGTATGTTTTTCTAAAGTACCGGTACAAATACCGGTAATTCACGTCAGAGGGATCTCGCATGGCGCATCGACCAACGCGATGTACAGTAAACAGTATAATTTAGAGTGTCTTTACATACGTTTCCTTGGTTGCATTTCGCATCCTACACACGCGGTTCTGAGCATATCCATCTTTTACCGCCGAAAGCGGCTTATATGTGCAAACAGTTACCAGTCGGTAGCTTTTAAAAAGTGACTGGAACGAGCTTGCGAATCGACTGGAAGATGGCACGGGGTCGAGAGACAGAGCTTGGAGATCTGATCTGCATGTCCTCATGAGCTACAGGTACAGTGCGCGTCCTTTTTGTCGATGATAGAAAGTGCACTTCAACTGAAGTCGTCGAAACCATGTGGCAACTCGGAACATCAAAGCGTTGCAAGAGAAAAGGTTTTATCTTGTCAAGTTCAACAGCGCGCTCTGCTTCATACTTATGAATCAGAAGCTCTAAAATACCGGTACTTTAATATAAAAGCACAGCGACAAACCAGTATACCGGTATGTTTTCATAAGAGCAAACTTGGGCTGCATCCCTAGAACAAACGCCCATTCACGATATAAGTGCTCACCGCTAAATACCAAAACTTCGCCTAATATTACCTCCTCATTTTTGTAAGGGCATATTAACAAGCTTTTAAAGCGAGGAAGGTACGTGTAATATTGATTAAATCGTATAGCAAGATAATTTGCTTACAAATTAATTACAGGACAGTTTTAATAATAGAAGAGACGTAAAGACACATTTTTTCGAGGAGATTTCATATTTCAGAGGAATTTGCTAAGATTTGACAAATTGTTTTGCTTTTAAAACCGTAAGTTCCCATCACTGCTTTCAGTGAATATAAGGTATTATTTTAAAAATAATGTTTTGATAATATGACAGGACACTTCAAGTACAGTACTGTAGTATCAGCGCCTGCATGTAATTCCTAGAAAAGGGTAATCCTATCGTGGGGCCGCTAAACCAAGTGTACTTTCTAAACGGTACACATATAGAAAGCCAACAAGCAAGCCAACAACAGCGTACAGTACCATCCATTTCATTTTTTTTTTTGCGGCCCTCCCGAGTGCTCCCACTCTTCATTTGAGCTAATGTCATCACGATGTCAGTCAAACCTCACCATTAGTCCCAAATCTGCGACTAAAGTTTTTCATTAATCGCATTGGTGACTCACCAATGCGATTTAATTTTTAACTTTTGTAGCAGATTTGCGAGAGGGTTTATTTGTGAGCCAAAAAGACTTTATTCTGTATCGTGATGCTAATGTATCCACTGCCCAGCTAACGTCTGACCAATCAGCACGAGATTTGTCCTACAGTCTTGTGATTTTGACTGTAAGTCCACCCCTAGGAAAAATGGCCAATCATTTTCGCTCCCCTGGTCTGTTTTAGTGGCTGTGACGACTCGTGCTGGCTCAGCGTCTCGAGCTCAGTTTTAGAAACCAGAAATAATAGCCAAGTCAAGATCACCACCATGACCCCCTACAATTGGCGCTTTACAGACAGTATACGTGGTGTGCACCAATCGAAACACTGGACGCCCTGCCGCCTATGGGTGTGATTGCAAATCAGCTCAAACATTGTACTGTGTGTAGTTGCAACCTCGATCAGCATCATATACGCTACCGTATCTACTGCTGCACGTCTGAGCGCACTTATCACGTGCAAGTTTAAGCTGAAGAAATTGACCTGCGAGAGAATGAAACAGAGACACCTTTGTCAGCACGATGACCACTTTGCCGTCAACGCTTCTGGCCTGCGTCCGCAAATCTCTCTTGAGATGAAGGCGGCTATCCGTGGGCTAATGGCAAAGGACGTAAATCCATCTCGCACCTGCAATGAGCTGGTTGATAGCTTCACGCTATCGACCAAAGCAGTGCCTGCTCTAACACAGATCCAAAATTCTGTCTAAAACTACAGACGAAGCAAAATGATGAGTACCGACGTCGAAGAGGACACGGAGGAGATTGCTGCTGAATCACAATTCTTTGATGATCTACCTGATACTACGTCATTCACGCTCGGGTACCCACTAGACGAGGACGGGGCCCCGGATCTTGGAGACGGAAGTGACGACAAATTATCGGTGATCAGAGTCACGACGCAATTCTAACTATAAGCGGCCGCGTAAAATCCCCACACCTTTGTCTTTCATATAAACGCAGTGCTTAAACTGTGGCGTGTGGATACCCACTCAATGTCTGCGGTATCTTTGACGCTGCTCGGCAGTTTCACCCGATGGTATCTCTCTTAACTTCTTAAAGAACTGCCGCCCAGTACTCTCAAGCTCTTCGTAGCCTAATTGATATCTACAAGGTGGTCGTAGGACGTCCGCTTGTGGTTCCTTACTGCATGGGAGACGCTGAAGACGCCCAACTAAATGGTGTTGAACAAACCCTGACCGCTCCGTGTGCATTGTAGCCCTCAAAACCAGAACTACAAAATTTAATGTGCTTCTTCCATGTCGTCGAAAACGTGAAAAAGTGTGTTTTCCAGCTTCTCCAATAACTCGAAGTACCTCGTCTATCGACAGATCTACGAAATGCACTACGCTAGAGATGCCACCTTGCTCATGTTAATTCAAGAGCGTGCCGATGGCTTGAGGCGGGCAGTTCCAGAGCTGAAACGCTTTTATGATTATTTAAAAAAATGGATTAAAAGTCGTTTCTGCAAGTGGCAGTGCTTTTGGTCGCCAACTGGTTTGCGAAAAGGAGCAACCTCGTGGAGCAGTTCGACAGAGGTGTTCAGCGCGACTATATGTTACGTGTCCGCGCGAAGCTTTGTGCTTTGTTCAAAAAGGTAATATCTATGTGCCACCACTGCTCCATTCTTCACCTTACGTTTGCCACGAAGCCCAAGCCCGCAACTACCCTGATTGCTCGAGCAAAAAGACTCTTGAAGGCAAAGAAAATAGTGGCTACTCAGCCGTGATATACTGTTCAGTTTCTACTGGAAGGTGAATCTAGCCGTCCAAGTAAATTTCATTGTCGAAGTTTGATCGACACGCTAGACAAGTCAGGAATGTTGAAGAAGGCGAGCAAAACAAACGTCGCATGGAGCGACTCGGACAGCCTATGCTCGGGTGGACTGTAAGTCTCAACACGCAGACGTGTCAGTGCAGAGAATCTATAAATTTGGTGCGTGCGTGCACCTGTTGGCATCTCTGAAACACACATGCAATAGCGCCAATCTGTTATCGATTTACCTTGAATTAGTATCCTCTTAAGTACGATCTGGATTATTTGCATATACGTGGTGCCGCCGTTTTGAGAGCCATCTCTTCTCTGGCCAAGCATTATGACCATTAGCTGGCAATTGGACACGGCTCAGATTGAACCTTATTTATTGGCTTGATAATTTAAGCGCTGATGTTGCGCATGATGGTACCTCATGGGAGCTTTATTTTCACGTGGATTGTACGATTATAATAAACTTTGTCGACTACCCAGTGGTCGTTGTGCCCCCCCCCCTCACCCCACCCCATTCCACCCCCTCTCCCCATAGTGGT